TGCGCAACTCAGAAGACCCTCTTGAACTTGGAATGGGAAACTCTCCGACACCCGGTGTATTCACCAGACTTGGCCCCATCCGACCACCATTTGTTTGAATCAATGGAGCATCAAGCCTTAGTGAATAGGCAGTTCAAAGCGTGGGACGATGTTCGCAATAAATGCGTCGACGACTTCATTGTCTCGAAGCCTGCAAGTTTGTTTGGTGACGACATTCTTGCGTTACCTGAGAGATGGCGCAAGGTCACAGGAAACGATGGGCAATATTTTAACATGAGAAAATGTGCTAAAAAATCTGCACACCTAATGGATTGACCAATCAGTAGGTAGACCGTGAAGCGAGCAAAGTACAAACCTGCAGGAGAATAGGGAGGAGAGTGGCCGTCTGCCTTTGCTGGTACTTTTCGCAGTTCGTCGGAGTCTGACGCAAACAGGCTTGGAAAGCGGTCATCTGGGAGGTGAAGAACGACGACGGCCGGTAGTCAGGTGTGGCAGCATCCACAGCAATGACCAGTGGGGTATGTGGCTGGTAAGGAGGGAGCTCTACATTGACCTGCTTCAGCGGGGCGTATCGAGGGAAGTACGAGGAGGACGCCGAGGAATACAGCGTTGAAGGACTACCAGCGACCGCGAACAGACCCGAGCGCACGGTGCGCGCCGAGGTCATCTGGGGTCGGTTCGGTGGGGGTTCTTGTTGTGCGGCGAGAGAAGTTTGTGGTTGTTGTTGTTGTATGGGTGTGGAGGCGAGGGGCGGTTGGTGCTAAGGACGGACAAAAACCAAGCCTCTCAACGATGGTGCGGAAAGCGAACGCCCTAGAAGTCGTAAACCCACAGGAAAAAACGAAAATCCGAGTGTATCGACAAGCCTAAAGGCAAAACCCACCAAATTGAACTCGTTCTTGGCAGTGATAAGTGCTACTGCCGCGGCGAGAGTCGCCGCAGGATCCCCAGCCGGGCCCTGTTTGTTCGACTCAACATGCGGATCGTTTTGTGGGGGTGGTGGTGGCGAGTGATCGTCACCTTCCTCCTCCTCCTCCTCATCCTCTTCCTCCTCCTCTTCCGTATCATCGATGTCACTAGACGAGAATTCCATCTCCTCGGAATCGCACCTTTCGCAGACCTACACGGAAGAAAAAGCGCACGATCCGACATCAACATCTCCAGGTTGAGTCATCAAGTAGAAGATGCATCTCTAGGCAGACTACAGGCTACCACACCGAACCCACCGGATGTCGAATATCAACGCCAGGTGCGTCCACAGCCAGAGGGAGAAACTGGACACTTAAGTGGCAAATGTCCTGGACATCAGCGCCATCTGCGACGCCAGCATGGTACAACTGAACCGGACGTCTTATAACCCATGGAAACTCACATGGTTTTGTGCATCCTCGGCTTGGACGGCATCGGAGGTCGCGTGGGGAGGCTTTCGGCCGCTGTTGCACAGCTGTGGACAGGAACGCGACTGTGCCGACGCCGACGGAGGCAGCTCGCCCGATTTCTCCTCGCTGATCCGCGAGAGATCCCAGCCAGTCCTCGCCTCAACCGAGGGCTCAATGACGAATTTGAGCTGGTGATGCTTGTCAGAGGACGCCGTTCGGTTTGTGGCGGTCGATTGGGTTGATTTGGCGTGGCTCTCGGTTGTAGAAACACCGGACGGACCACTAAGTTGACGAGACTTGTGGGACTAGAAGTGGAAGGAGAGAAGGACTGCGTAATCAGAAGCGACTCAGGTAAAGATGTGCATTCGTTTATGAAGAATAGAGGGGGAGGGGGAGGGGAAGGGGGAGGAGGAGGAGGAAAGACATGTAGACAACACTGAACGAAATTGTAAGAAAATGACTCCACACCACTTTTCTCAATTCGAAAAATAAAACAATAAAATAAAACCAGCGAACAAATGATCACATCACACACTTTTTTCAAACGCTAGGAAGATTCGCACAAAACGAGCACACACCAAAACGATGAATACCACAAAACACTAAACTCAATCGTACCTGGGAGATAAGTTACAGCCATATTTAGACCACTTCTTCTACGTCGTAATAGTGAGCATTGTCAAGAGCACGATGCACCATACTTAATCGATATTGGCCGATCCGATTGGAACCAGTGGCTACACTTGGAAACTGAGCAAAGTCACTAAGCGTGGTATCGTCGTGGCATTCGTCAGACTCACAGAAGCAGGTCGTGCAGACGACGTGGGAGGTGCTGGTTCGTCGTAGCCAGGCGGTGGAGCATCGAGGCGCTTCTTCCGTCGATGCAGCAGCTGCTTTTCCACCTGCTCAAGCATGGCAGTCAGACGCTGGGCGTTGGCAGCGGTCAACTGGAAGAGGTCGGGTGAGGTGTCGGTGGCGGCGTTCGCCGGGGCAGCGCAGTTCTCCGTTGAGTCCTCGTTATTCACGAGGATGGGCAGGTGCAGCTCCGTGTGGGGACTGGCCTCCACGTCCCGCAGCACCTGGGGTAGGTAGTGGAACAGGAGGTCCAAGGAGTGATCCCACGCCTTCCTAGAGAATCCACAAGACACCGACGTTACTCTCAGACTTAAACTAATGACGAAAAGGATTCTGACTTGTAGCCAATCACACGAATCGACGTCAACAATAGGGTGGGCGTGGAAGATAATCACGGAGCACTCACCAGATGTGGTGGTTGTGAGTGGGTTTTAGCTTTGGCCACGAGCATGGATGGCAGCCGAAGGCGCGCATCAGACGCTCGGCCAAGAGGTAATTGCGGTAGATGCTGGCCACCAGGAGGTCCTGGCGGAAGAGTTTTTGGAAGAGCTCTGGGGGGAAGCTGCACCAGGCGATGGTGTCGGTTACCGCGGTGAAGATCCAGTTGATTTCGCCCAGCAACGACATGCGGTTTCCAGGAGTGCCCGGGATTCGGTCGAGTAGCTCCTCGTCAATGTAGCCTGGGGACAATACTTTAAAGGCTGAAACTACTAGACGCAATGGGCACAGCGCTGTACCCTCTCTGACTTCACCACCTCCCTTATACCACGCCTTTTTCCAGCGTTAACGGCACCACAGCGGGTGACCTCAAATGAAGAGCACCGGTTGAATGGTCGTGTGATTTCTAAAATGACCGCTCTAGGTGACCACAGAAGGAGGAAGAATGCTTGCCTTACCTGGAAAATACTTGTTGTACTTCAACCAATGCCACTTGAGGGCTGTGCGAATGGGCGTGGTGAGGCAGGCAGTGAAGAGGTCGGCGGGTAGCTCGGCGAGCTGCGGCAAATCCTCGTTCTCCTGACACGCGCACAGCATGATCGTGTTGTCCATGCTGACAATTGGCGTGTTCGGCTGGATGCCGGAGTGCTGTGGGTAGACCTGAAAGGAATTGGTAGATTAAAAAATCAAACAACTTCGCTGTTTGAAACCGGGTTTGAATTGAAAGTGGGCCTAAATGAGCAGTCTCTCACCGCACACTTTGCCGTAGCAAAAAATCTCTCGGAAGAGAGCGACAAGGAAAAATCTGCCTCCGCCTTGAGTCACCTTGAGGATTACATTATCATTTGGATGGTCTTAGAATGGCATAGAGAAATCGGAAATGAGCTTTCCGAGAGCGGTGAGTACGGGGAGTTACTTAATCGCGGACTCAATGAGGTCCCGACGTTTATTTCGGACAAGTTTTACAGGTTTTGACGAAAATGCCGGTCAAAAAAGCATGTTGCGAGACTCACGTGAGCAAAGGAGCCAGGCACGGACTCGTGTTGGAGACTTTCAGCTGGCATGGCACCGCCGCCATCTGGGGCATTGGACATCTAACAAATGACAAATAGAAAGTTTACAAGCGAAGTGTGCGCGGACTTGGGTTTTTTAAACCTTAAGTTAGCGTAAAAGGAGCGTGAAGATTAAAAAATGCTTCGCAAATGAAAAAAAATAGTTAAACACTACCACAGGATCTGAAAAACGGAAATCCCATGCACAACAGACAGGCTTTTCAATTCCATAACTTAATATTTTTTTTTGAATTTCATAGTTTGGCTGCTTAAGCATTTGGGTTTTTCAATTGTATCAACAAATTTTTGACCACACCATGATTTAGAAGCGGCACATAAAGAGCATAAGTGGATGTAAAAACCAGCCATTAGGTGTGCGCATTGCAGAGTTTGTCAAATCCAAAAAAACGCACTGCCCACCATTATTTTCGTGTTCCCACGGGTGAGTGGAGTTCGAATGTACGAACAACGGCATACATTGTGGCTAATTGTGACAAAACCAGACGTGATGATTATAGAAGTAGAAGCAGCGTGTATCCCAAATAACAGGTATCACTTCACTGATTCTATGAAGCTAGATTATAGAGAGGGCCTAGTGATTACGCTTAAAGTCGAAGTTGGCGGGTTAGAAGCCCAGAACAAGAGGAGGGGGGAATTAAGACAAACATACCTCAATTTGTCTGCGTTGACAAAAACATTCGTACATCCTGAGCACGCGCCCAGCGTTTTGGCAGTCAATGACATAGACCGAAGGTGCACCAAGCCAGCGTTGGAGATCAAATAACGAAAGTGGAATGTATTTCGTGAACGTCTACTCGAAAAAAAAGGAGAAAAATAGTCACTTTCGGCTTAATCTAACTGACACAAGACTGCGGAACTCTGCTTAGGAATCGGGGAAAAATCACGCATTTATCAATAAACAATAAATGGATACTTTAATAATCAACGTATGTCAACTCATAGAATGGGACTAACCCTATTAAACACCCAAATTTCTCCGTTCTCCGTTGGTCGCGGAACACCATGTCCGTTGTAGTGGAAGAGAATGCGATCAGTTCGTGCATTGCGGCGTAAGTTTATACAAATCTTTTTTACTTCTTCCAAATTCGGATCGAGGCATTGTCTGTAGCAGGCCTTAGGTTGCCACCGTTCATATTGCGTCTGGACAAGATGGACAATATTTATGACAACTTGAATGTGAAGTTACAGACGTCTTAGCTCGAAGAAAATTGTAAAAAATACGTGTCATTTACCTGGAGATTTTTTCCAATCAATTCAACAACACGATAACCTGCGTCAGAAGGATCTACCCACGCCTCCACTCGACTGAATGGAGGAATTTTTTGTACATCTGGAGGGTCGATATCCATGTTAAGACAGATAACAAGAGCAACATTAACTGTTTTAATCTTTAAAGTTGGTTTGTAACAATGTAACATACTTTTTCCTTGGAGTAAAACTCTTTATACAGCTCAATTCCTTTAACAGGCTCATTTAAGTGAGAGGCCACAAAGGCCTTAACGTGTTCTGAAACGACACAATAATCGTCGAAGTTATGATCCTCGCAATGCCCTTTGACGCGTTTGTTCACACTAGCCATTCTCAATCATGGGACGTGAACCCCTGCAGAACTTATTCGCACGGCAAAACGCGCATTGATAGACTATTTTAACGATAAGGTCAAGGTAAAAGCGTTGAATATTTACTTCAATTTTTCTTGAAAAAATTCTAGGCAGTTCTTTTATGCATCAGAGGCAAATAAATACACATTTAGGCTCTTAAGACACATTACATGTTTATTTAGACACTGGATAGTAAGTGCAGATAATTAAAATTGCTGATATGATATTTTTAATATTCAAAAAATTACATTGTTGCTTTCCCTAGATTCTCAACATTGAAGAGTTATTTCTGGTTTTTGCATAACTTGTTGTTAATGTTCTCTTAAGGAATGTAACGTTATTCAGATTTATAATCAAAATAACTATGGTCTTGGTAACAGTTTTTGAATTCTCAGGATTACATTGCAAAAGAATGTCAAGTTTTCTGAACAGTTTAATGAATCACATAGTATAACGTAGTGTTTGCGTAAAGATAGTCGTTATCACTCACACCAATGTTACTGTTCTGAACAATACACCTTTGCCAGTTTCAGGAAAACCTGAAAACGCCCATAATTATACTTTAAATCTCTAAATATCTGGGTGTGTTAAGTATATGTATATGCATTTATTGTGTGTAAAAGGATGTTTTAGTATAGGAAAATTGTTTTTCACGCAACTGGCTATTCCGTTTTATTCAGTTGATTTATAAGAAGCATAGATCGAAGCAGCTAAGTATACCTGCTGATGAATAGAGAGCTATTTTCATAGTTTTAAGTGTGTTACAGACAATAGGAAAAAACTGTACTCCAGTTTTTGAATTTTCACTGCATATGGGTCGCTGTTGTAACCACATAACAGTAATAAATTTGTATTGTTTTTACAATGGGACGTAACTTAAAATAAAGACGCAGACTTTTAGCCATTTACAGAGCCATACTAACCTCACTACTTTATCCTTTATTGACTCCAAAATACCCAAGAAAAGTAACTGGTGAAACGAAGTTTGCATAAGGCAAACACAGACGTTTAATTGTCCTAAACGCACAATGTGCCTCTTTTCCCTTTTGTTCAGGCTTGCCTAATAAGCGGAAATGAAGATATTTAATATGTGATTGACATGAAGAAGCTCAAAATACTATTGCTGTCATCCCTATTCAATTTCTCGGTATCATATCTACACTTGATTTATTTACGCTTAGTTGTCCAATGTTTTATTTACTACTTCTCTTTTCTTAGATCTACTAGACTCGTTTTACCAAATTAATTAAAAGGATTGGTCATATAAACCGCCATGCTGAATCACTTACTATTACCCGAAAACACAGGAAACAAGTTCACACATCTAGACTGGTACAGTCCTTTACATTACAAATTAAATATCTAAAGTAAACATCATTGCACATGATTACTGGTATCAAAATACTGAGTACTTGTTTGTGGAATCGGTTGTCGATTATTTGTTTCTGGTGACGTGTTTGTATTGTTGAGCAAGTTAAATTTCCGAATCCAGCACATAAGATTTAAATTGAATATGAGAAAATTAAGCCATTTTTAGATTCTCTCTTTGTACTCTGCGCGAAGCTTCAGAATATTACACTTTCAGGCAAGAACACTTAACTTGCCTATAGTTCTGCTGATTGCAAGCCATTTGACTACCGGCAGACAGAAATGCTTGATAACTGACAGACAGCCAATTTCAATGAACACGCTAGTGAATAAACGATTGCATTTACCCGGTCTTAAGTGCCACAGGTCGCAACTGTAAAGAGGGTTGTGGGACAGCAGTTCGTTGGCCAAAATCAGCTGGAGATCACTTATGTAAACAGGTTACACCAGACTAGATCTGTGCATTACCGTGCCGGTTAACTAGAAGCTAAAATCTTGAGAATTAAATTATATGCACAGTTATATTTATTAAAGCAGGCGTCATCAAGAGGCTATGACATTTGCCTCATTCTGCATACGGCCATCCAAATTTCAATATGCTACCGCTATTAGATTGGCTAGCAGCCTCAGCATCTTGAGAACCTCTATTCATGTCAGTCTAGCGGCAATAATCCACCTGGTTATGGTCATGCGGCTCATGCATTGGCCTCTAACGAAACTAAAACGCGACTGGAGAAGCTTCTGCCACATGCTCTGTAGGGTCAGGCTTAACAAGAACAAGTCATCGCGATACCTTTTTTTTACTCGAGCACGTAAGTATCACTTTCAAGTCATTATGTGACCTCAGTGGCCAACATATCATTACCAATATAATCGGGGAGAAATCGACAAATGCACTCGTCCGGACAGTTTGAACTTGTGTGGTAGATAATTGCAGACATCGGCCGGCCTGGCATCCAGGCGTAGTCGCTGTTGGTACACAGGATGTTCCGCATTATGCTCTCGGTTAGAATTCGTGCCATTGCAGCCACCTCCCTTTCGAGATTGTCCGAGTCCATCAGGTCGTGAGTCCTGATTATGTGGTTGCGCCAGCGCACATCCAGACGGAAAATCAGGGGACCAAAAGCCTTTGCAACATTATTAAGAACGCTTCTAATCTGGAAGGGCTTCAACTGCGCCTCATGAATAATGTAAAGCGGTGTCATTAGAAGTGGGAATTCGGAACACAGGTAAAAACAGTATTTGCGCACGAGTGCAATGAGGTTTATGATTAGAAATCGGACAATGTTCCGCATCAAGTAACTACGGGTTAGGTAGAGGTCTTTAAAAAAGAGACAGTTGACGATATTCAATACGCCTAAACGGGTGCTTGTGATGAAAGTATTTTGCACCTGTGTCTCACACAGCTTCTTGTACTCGATTTGCGTTGGGTTCGCGTTGCCCTCTACGTCTGACCAGAACATCGCCGGGGTCTCCTGACACAACTCCGCATCCGTCGGGTCGAAGGGATCATTTGGATTCAGAAAATTCACCTTCTCCATCACCCTGCATGTCCGAAGGGTCACATAGAAGGGCACCGGCTCAAGGCGACGAATGATTTCCACAATTATTTCAAACAAAACCAGCGGTGGGGTGGGTTTAAGAGCGTTTTTGCATTGGTCGAGAGTTTCACACTGATAGAGGAGCCATGTTGACATCTTGCGAATTGCAGAACCTCTGCCTGCCAGGCCTGGCGAGGAAGTCTCTACACCGGCTATCTCCTCTAAGAAGCTCCTCATTGGCGTGGAACTGACTTGTTCGTTGTGCTTTGCCTGCAGCACCAGCATGGGGCCGGCCAAACAAAGGGGGATCTCAATACCATTTTCTGCGACCCGCAAGAGGCTTTGGTCAAAGGTTACTTTCGGCAGATTTGCGAGGTCTTGCTCGCTGATGGGAATAATAGCAGGGAAGTTTAGAACGGGAGGTGGTCCCTCCCAAGTCGGGGACGATCTCCCGCTCTCCATTCACGTGACTCCCTCTAATCAATACATAAAGCCCACGTGAACACGCAGGCGCCCAGATTGCCAAGGCCGATAAAATACGCCTGGTAGTTGGTCGTCAGCGTGATTGAAACGAAAGCTGGTCAGGCAAAACACAGAGATCAAAATTTCGATCTACGCACTTTATCGCAAAGGAAAAGGTTTTCCAAAAAAGCACCAATAGGATAATTTCTTTGTTTTGGTTCATTTTGCGACGGGTGAATACAGCGCATAATCTGGGTGCGCAAGGAGCTTACGTGGAGCTGATATGAAGAGTTCAATGCCATAAGATGCATAGCCGCTAGCGCAACACGTGACCTAAATTGTTCTACAATTCGTCGGACCAATGAGAGTGTAATTGAACGAGATTACGACATATGGAGCCATTGGCGTTGTTAAATACCTCCAAGATCTACACGCAAATCCTGGAGTGCGATGCTGGTCATTCAGAGGTGGAGTGGACGACAGAGTAGACCAATGTCACGACGATAGCGCGCACTCCATTTAATCAGAATTTGAATTTCATACACCAAAAATTCACTACTGATGACCTCCAGACAATCCGTGACACAACATCCAGGGACAAACAAATGACAGAACACGAAACCTCTGCACTGGTCACTGTGGTGGCTGAACCAGAATTCAATGCTGGACAGAACGCAATAAGAACCTTTTCAGACGGGATTTAAATGTCAAATTTTGGATGTATTTACGAACCGAAATAAGCCCAAGTACAAAGTTCATTCTAATTGATGCACCGGATTTGACTTCGGCGCCCTCTGAGTCACGGTCTACGGTGAAGTCCGCTTATTTATCGATATGAACACCTTAAAAAAGCCTAATTTAGGAGCGGAGGAATAATAAACCCCCGGTTTGAACCAAATTATATTTTTCACAATCGAGATTATTAAAAAAAGTACTGGGGTAAACGAAGACACATTTAGACAGGTTCTTATGACTAGAAGGCAACGAGGTTAGAATAAAAAGAGAAGCGATTTGTACCCAGTGCAGAAGAGAAAAGCGCACGATGTAGAGAAAAAAGCAGGACAACATTAAGTCAAGTGAAATTACTGGACGTGGAGACAACTTAGTCGGTCAAAATCACAAGCAAAACCTACCAGTGATGCAATAGTAAAACTTGATTATCAGCCATTTCTAGATAATCTGGTGAGTCAGATAAAATAGTCGCGATTAAATTCACAAGCGGTGTCGCAAGTGCACAATGCTAGATGTCGATGACAAGATTTTGTCCCTAACCGACTGCAGATGCTGAAAAAATAAGCATAAGAGTATTCTGTTGCACTTTTAATGTTTATTCACAACCTATACAAGTTTACATAGCTAATATGCACTGATGCTTAAGACCCCCTAAACGAAGAAACTCAGGAAAATTGTTGGATTTTGCCCGCCTCCTGCTTCAACCGGATGGCAAATACCCTCGTAATCAGATTCATGGAATCCATGTAGCGATCCATGCAGTTACCCAAGCATTTCTTAAAACATCACGTTATGCATCGTATTTAAAGTACCTGTTCAGAATTGTCGAGGGAAGTACCTGGCTTGGTTACACATTTCTCAAAGCATTTACTTGACATTTGCTAAAATGCAACGTAGATACTCTTGATAACTTACATCCATTAACTCGCGAGCACTTGCGATTGCTACTTCTGCTTTCATTTGGTCAACAAGCTGGGTTCGCTGAGAAGGAGAAAGAGACCCTAGGCCACCTTGCGACGCATCCATCACGAGCAATGTGAAACTTAAGGCTATCGCTAATAGTGGAATTCAGGCTAATGACTTGACGACGTTAACCAGCAGCATCATATTAGCCCTCGTTTAGTTTTACTGTTTCCGATATTTAATTCATGCCCACAAAATGACAACTATCTTGCCTATTTCATTAAAAATAAGCCAAATAAGAAAATAGACTTCATGTCTTCTTCACCCTGGCTAAAGGATAGTTATCCGGGTGCTTTGAAATAGGTTTGATTTTTAATATCAATCTTTTTTTTCAGGATCAAATTAAGTGAAAACCGTATGCACTGAAATTGGAAGTGATTATTGTTCCAGATACTATCAGAACCATCCAACAGACTGCTATAGAAGAGGCAAATCCATTTTGCATTCTGGTAAATTTCTAAACAGAGGGAAAACAACAAAAAGCAGTTTTGGTTGGTAAGGATTTGTTTAAAAATCACCGTTATCACCGTTTAAATTCCTTTTTTTATTATCCTCATTGAATTAGGAATGTTGCATTATACTATGATATAATACGTTAATTTGTTGGCGGATGTAAAACGAGGATAATAAACGTTGTTTAATTTTTCGGTTACTTTTAATGTATTGCACACTTCTTGTGTATTACATGCAATTTCTTTTTAGTGAACGTCAATAATTTAGTGGCTGTAAACTGGCTGACGCATTTTTCAAAAGGTGTAAAGTAGTTTTGCACTACAAGTTTAGGATCAGGCGATAAATTTTAGATGAAGATTTGAACAAAACAATGCTTGCTGACCATTTTAAACGTTGCTAATGCAGTTAACTGGAATTTGGTTGATTAAAATTTTGGAACTTGCATGCCCGATGGGATAAATCGATTAATAGATTCTTTTGTTTCCTTATCCCATAAACCTAATATATATATATATATATATATATATATAT